CAGGATTTGAATTGGATAAGGGATTTCGGCCAAGGCAGTTTGAGTATCACCCATCTGACTCCAGCTTGATGGTGTTTGGAACTTTAGATGGTGAAGTAGTTGTCATCAATCACGAAAGTGAACACATTGTGAGTTATATCCCATCACTTGGCGCGATGAATAGTGTCTTGGGCCTTTGTTGGCTTAAGAAATATCCTTCTAAGGTAAGTTACATGAGAAGTCACTGATAGAGATTGCATCTACTTTTGATATTGGTTTATATGAGAATACTAACAGATACCTGCTACATATATATATATATATATATATATATATATATATATATATATATATATATATATATATATATATATATATATATATATATATATATATATATATATATATATATATATATATATATATATATATATATATATATATATATATATATATATATATATATATATATATATATATATATATATATATATATATATATATATATATATATATATATATATATATATATATATATATATATCGACAATTATTGATGTAATTCTTCTACAGTGCCACACCAACAATCATAATTTGTTGTTTGTCATACATGGTCAGATAGTCTTGTAGAGCCTAAAGTAGTTTTAACGGGATATGGCACTTTATAATTACGTTACGTCTGTCCCTAAATTTAGGACCTTGTAGACTAAATCACAAAGCTAAACAATTGGCAATGTTTTTACAAGTTTACCCTTTAAATGAGATAATGAGCTTATGTTCCCATTATACTAGTATTTATTGCTGGTTACAGTAGAAGATGTAAATTATTAGGAGTATGTTGGTAAATAAATAATTAATGCAGTTGGAAATTTGAAGAGATCCTATTAAAAGGGGCCAAGGAATTTCTCAATAGGATTCTATAATTAGGGATTGGGTAGATCATTATCTCAGGAAGGCATTAATTCATTGAAGTATTCCATTCTGTTTAGTTAGATTTAGAGCACTTGATCCTCCAATGATTTTTTTTAATAGCAATTTCTGATGTTTTTTATTGTGTTGCATGTCAGCTTATAGCAGGTTCAGATAATGGTTCCCTGAAATTATATGACATCAACCATACACCGAGAAAAATTACTGGCTTATACGGGAACTCTGGTTGTGTTACCTTTGATGAATTTGACCAGCTGACATCTGTTCATGTTAACTCCACAGATGAGTTATTTCTTGCAAGTGGTTACTCAAGAAATGTTGCTTTGTATGACATCAACAGTGGAAAGCGCTTACAAGTATTCACAGATATGCATCGTGGGCATATTAATGTAGTGAAGTTTGCAAATCATTCCCCATCAATTTTTGCCACTTCATCATTTGATCAGGATGTCAAGATGTGGGACTTGAGACAGAAACCAATTCACCCTTGCTTCATTGCTTCAAGCTCTAGAGGAAATGTGATGGTTTGTTTCTCTCCAGATGACCAATATATTCTAGCATCGGCAGTTGACAATGAGGTATTTTACTTCGTAGTGTGGTTAGTTATTGGTCCTTGCATGCAAAGTGCAATTGCTGAGATAGGCTATGCACACCAGGGAAAATCTGCTTCAGCTTCATAGCAGTGTTGATTGATTTTTTTCATATATGCATAATATTTTCAATTGATTGCCTATATACTTGTTTTTTTGTGTGGCAGTTTTTATCTTAAAAAATATTGTTCGTGTGCTGACTAACTTGTCAATTTTGACAGGTTAGACAATTTCTGGCTGTTGATGGTAGGCTTCACTTAGTTTTTGATATAGCTCCAACTGAAAGTTCTCAAAATTACACCCGTTCTTATTACATGAATGGGAGGGACTATATTATAAGTGGAAGTTGTGATGAGCAAATTGTCCGAATTTGCTGTGCTCAAACAGGGAGGCGCCTGAGAGATATTTCCCTGGAGGTATGTCAATCATCTAATTGCATGCTTTACTGGCAACCATCTAATGAATATAACATAATGGAAGAGAAGAGAGAGAAAGGGGTACCAACATACAAAATGGGAGCTGGGTAGTTGTTTGTTCCACACTTTGATGGGAACCCAGACTGTTAAAATGCTATAAACAGTAAATAACAGAATGGAAATGAATTGCGTTTATTGATGGTGAATTTGGACAATTACGGAGGGAAATGATTCTGACACAGAGCAAGCTCCTTTGGAAAGCTAGAGCTTTCCATTCATATCTAACAACTAGATTCTCAAGGATAATCCTCTCAACCTCCCCTACGTTCCTTATAGAGTGAAACCGTTACACAATTCTCTCACCTCAATCCAATATAACAATTATTCCTCTCTACCCTTTTTGCCCCTTCTAGAGTAAACTTGCCGAATCTTAGGCCCCACTGAGTCATGATGAATTTATTTCTCATTTGGGCTGACTTCTAAAACTATGGATCAAGTGGCCTAAAGTATGGCACGTTTATTCTAGAAGAGGCAAAAGAGGGAATTATGGATAACTCTTGGGATGGCTGTGGGGAGAGCAACAGACTATAACCATTTCCATTTAATGAGTTATTATGGATAACTCTTGAGATGGTTGTGGGAGAGCAATAGACGGTGACAGTTTCCTCTTATAAGGAGTGGAGGCGGGGTTTGAGAGGGCATCTTTGTGAATCTGAGAAATTAGAATGAATAGGGAGTATTGGCTTCCTATAGGAGGCCTAGCTCTGGTCAGGAAACTAGGGATTCTTTTTCGCCTTCCTAGCTCTGGTCAGGAAACTAGGGATTCTTTTTCCCCTTCCTAGCTCTGGTCAGGAAACTAGTGATTCTTTTTCCCCTTATCTGTAATCGCCCTCTAGTTATAAGCAATAAAAGCTCTCTCCCTCATATTTTGTTTTTTCTACTCATTTTATTTTTTTCTATCTACTGGTTCCTATCAAACTGCTCTAACACAACTTCACAAATAATATGAAAGAAGTATTTCTTATATTACAGGATTGTACATTTATGTTTATATTCCTCTATTGTTTTTCCATCAACAAGCAACATCTCAAAAACCAGCTTAGGAAGGAACTTGAACAATTGATGCTTGAGTATTGTGCTTTTATGTGTTGCTCCATTCTATTGAGAATTTGAGATTACTTGTTTACTTCTATGCAGGGTAAAACCTTAGGAAGTTCCATGTTTGTTCAATCTTTGAGAGGCGATCCTTTCAGGGTAAGTTCTGTTTGGCTTATCCCCGCCTTCTCTTGGTAAAAAGGAATGGCAACACTAGTTAGCAGCCTTGTGGAGAAGATGAATAATTTGGGGATTTCAATTGTTAAATATCATTCACTATCATACTGGACATAAACGATTTTTCTCATTTGTTTGGGTTGTTTCTTTTCATATTTCTTTGTTAATTCTGCTTGGGTTGGCACTTGGCTGTTACTGTGTTGCCCTTGTTAAACTTTCACATGGCCTTTCGATTGAATGTCTTTTCCTCGGAAATACTTTTAGAAAGGGAAGAAAAAAATTATATTTTTATCTTTAGGAGTAAACACATTTATTCGGCACAATGAACTTCTGCTTGTTTTCATTATTTTGTTAATTAGAATTTAGTCCCACCGCTTTTCTTTAACGAGAGTTCTCTGTTTCTTTCAATGATGTTGTATGCAGGATTTCCATATGAGTGTGTTGGCAGCTTACATGCGACCTGGCTCCAAGTCTGAAATAGTCAAGGTTTTGTACCTTCCTATAGATGCATTAAATAGGGATGTCAACTTGTATCCTCTAATGGGGACTCCCGCGGATGTGGAACTTCCCCCGCGGGGATAGGATGGGAAACAAAGTCCCTCCGAAGGCACTTCGAGGACGGAGATGGCGAACACATCTCCGCCCCGTGGAGTCTCCGCTCTATCTAGAATAACATAATATCCTTAATTAATATATATTTTAAATTTATATGTAGGTTTATTTGTCATTTCATATAACTTATTTTATAAAATTTCTTGGAACATATATATAATGTTAGTAAAAGAGAGATCTAAATGATTATTTAAAAAATTTTAAGTTTGAAAATTTGGTGGTCATGACTCCTCGTAAGCATAGATTACATGTTGTCAAAACAATAGAGTTTTTGAATTTTTTACTATTACTTTGGTTTAAACTAATAAAAGATCTCCGCGGAGATGAGGATGGAGGACAATGAAAAAGCATGAATAGAGATGAATTAATACAACAATTAAGATTTCCCCCATTCATTTGCTATCACAATTACTACATAGTAAAATGTTTGTTTTCCTTATTCCCTTTTCAGTCTGACTCCGTTTAAGCAGGAAAAAAAAGTGTTCTTATTTATTCTGCCTTTCACATTGGAACATTCAAAATGAATGAGAGGAAACATTTACTTGCTTAGCGGAAGAAAAGATTCTTAAAAACTTGTTTTGTTTTTGCAGATCAACTTACTAGCATCTAGTGGCCATGCTAATGACGACGCTGATGATCATCCTGTATGCCCATCCAACATTATGGGAGCTTGATGTACTATTTTGTATGTAATATATGTGTAGAGTTGATTTTGAATTGGTTTTTACTAAGTAATAATAATCGTTGTAGTTAATTACCGTGTTGAGCTAAGATTTGCCTACATGTAATGTAAATCAACAAATGTAAATAAAAAACATGTAATATCTTAAGTTATAGTGATCAGAAATCAGAGTTTGTAAAACTATTGCTTTTGAGTGTAACATATTTTCTTTTATTGTGTACACTGATGAAAGTTTGCTTGAAAAGAAAATAGATTTCAGTGATTCATATAATATTGGTGGTATGGTGCTACACTACTTCAAAGAATCAAAACCATGGATTTTGTATTCACTCTCACTTTTTTTCACTGTCAAGCACGCACCATGTATCCATAATCCATGATACGAGATTGAGACAATTATTTTTCTAAGTAAATAAAGAGCAAAGCAACATACAGAATGGGACAAAAGAAATTGAAGGTACTATAAGAATTCGTGGGTGGAAAGTAGAGCCAGAACAGAAACCATCACATGCTGTCTCAATGTATCTTCCTGAGTTAAGACCGATCCTTCTGCTTTTACATATTTTATTACATCACACACCGACTCCACCTATTTTCTATTGCATCACACATTACAAGCCGATTCTTCTGCTTTTTCATATTTTATTGTCATTTTCACCATCCCTGTTAAGACTATTCTCAAGTTGTGACCATCAATATAAATACATGCTACAAGCAAATGCTATCACAAACTTCTTGAGAGTTGAGTTGAAACTTGAATATTAAAATGAAGCCTCTCTTCACCATGCTGCTATTTTGTTCCCTTCTTCTATGCTCCTCTTTCTTGGAGCAATCCATTGCATATGAAGATTCATGTAAGAGTTTATTCATTTAATTTGCCTATTTTGTTCTTTTTTAAGGTTTGATATTACTGAAATTTAATATTCATTCTAATGGCAGCTTATTGCACCAACAAGTGTTCAGACAGGTGCTCTAAAGCAGGGGTTCAAGATAGGTGTGTGAAATACTGTGGAATATGTTGTGAAGAGTGCAAATGTGTTCCTTCAGGGACTTATGGGAACAAGCATGAATGCCCTTGCTACAGAGACAAGGTTAACAAAAAGGGCAAGCCCAAATGTCCTTGATCCACTGTTTTGTTTTAGGAGTCCATTGTGAGTCTGAGATGGTTAGTGTTTTTGTATAAGGGATGATTAAGTATGTATGTTGGATTCTTGTTGTTATTTCAGTTTTTCAATGTCTGTGGGGGTGTTAGATCCGAAGAGGATTAATAAATATCAGTGAGATACGTGGACGTTCACACGGATATTGATATGATATGCATATTTATTTTTAAATTATAATAAAAATAAAAGAAAAAAAAGTTAAATTATTGAATAAAAAAAATTATTTTTTTATATGATACGTTCGGATATACATATCTAAATAATATTTTGAGATTTTCAGAGATTTATTTCAAACCGTACTAAAAAAAAACCTCAATAAATTGTACGTGGTCTAGTGGGGTATGATTCTAGGAATGTCCCTTTTTTATATTTATTGTTTTGAAGCTGTGGAAGTTTATCATTGTTGATTATTTAATTCAATATGAATACGCTACAGATTTATTTTTACATTTATTAAAGATAAGGAAACTAACAATCTTGACTATTAGGCTTTCTGGTGTATTAGTTAAATAACTATTAGGCTTCGGGACTGCATCTAAATGGTCTGTGATGAATGCTGTGACACATGAATAATGTATTAGTAGTTAAATTTAATGTTGGAATATGAAAAAAAAATTAATGAATTAATGGTGAAAAGTAGTGAATTTAGAGAAGATGAAGTTAGAGAAACCTTAGAGATTATGAGAGAGAGTAATTGAGGAGAAAAATTTATTATGACATTAGTATCAAACAAATATTACATGAACCTTTATATAGGATATCACTAAAATACAATTTAGAACCAAACAGACCTAAGAAAACAGTTAAAAATTTAAAATATCGCGCTGGAAACCGATTTCTCAAAATAAGGGAATCGATTTCCTGAACTGAAAATGCAAATACCAGAAAAACACAGTTATGGAAATCGATTACCCACTTTGTGGAAATTGATTTCCTCTTCGAAAATTCCAGATTTTAGATTTTCAGAAGTGCTTCTCAAATAAGTTGTTTTAAACGAAACGATTCCTGAAGTTTTCACAATGCATTTGAATTATTTTTAAGCTTTTAATACACCTCCTTAATTCAAATGCTCTAAGTTTTTCATACCCAAACTCACCACAAGTTTCTTGAACACCACATTTGTTACACCTTTTGTTAACAAATTCGCAAGTTGTTATTCGATTTGACAGTATCCTAACCTCAGTTGGCCTGCACACCAGTTCCCTAAAGTAATGAAATCTCATCTCGATATGTTTGATCCTCCCATGTACTATGGGATTTCTTGCAAGATTAATAGTTGAAACATTGTCAATCAAGAGTGTGTCAGCTTCTTTAACCTTGATGTCCAACTCTTCCAGCAGTTTCACAAGCCACACAGCCTGACATGTACACAATGATATAATCTCCCTCATAAGAAGAGAGTGCCACCACATGTTCCTTTTTAGAACACCAAAATATTGGAGCTCTGCCGAACATAAAGACATAATCATCCATAGATTTTAGATCATCCTTATCTCCGCACCAATTGGAATTCGTGTAACCGAGTAACTCGCAATTTTTGTCTATATTAACGCGGGAAAAAGTATTCCACAATCAAGAGTTCCTTTTATGTATCTTAAGATCCACTTAATTGTTGCCAAGTGAGACACCTTCGACCTCTCCATGAATCTACTTGCAACCGAGACTAAACGCCAAATCTGGCCGTGTATTGCATAAGTAATGTAATGATCCAATCAACCTCTTATATTGTATTGGATCTACATTCTTCTCATCATCACTTTTGGAAAATTGCAACCTTGCTTCAGCAGGGGTATTAACAACATTACAATGTTCCATATCACACATTTTCAAAATCTCAAGAGCATACTTTCTTTGATATATGAGCAGTCCCGATTTTGACTTGTGAAACTCTATGCCAAGAAAGAAAGTCATGATTCCAAGGTCACTCATTTCAAATTCTTCTATAAGTTCACTTTTGAACTTATAAATATTCACTTCATTGCTTCCTGTGACCAATAAATCATTCACATATAAGTAAAGTATGATCACATCTTTGCTTGCATCCGTCTTCACATAGACATCATGTTCGGAAACACATTTCTTGAAGCCAACTTCAATTAGAAAAGCATCAATGCGTTTGTTCCAAGCTCTAGGAGCTTGTTTCAAACCATAAAGTGATTTCTTCAATTTAAAGACTCTTCCCTATTGGTTTGTCACAACAAAACCAGAGGGATGCTCTACATAGACTTCCTCCTCAAGTGGATCATTCAAAAATGCAGATTTCACATCAATTTGATAAATTAACCAATTATTACTATTCGCAATACCAACAATCATCCATATGGTTTCTAATCCAGCCATAGGTGCAAACACGTCATCATAGTCTATACATTCTCTTTGCAAAAATCCTTCGCAACTGGTTGAGCCTATGCTTGACAATTTCGCCTTTTGGATTTGCCTTTAATTTATAGAACCATCTCACTCCGATTGGCTTTTTACATTCTGGTAGATCGACCAACTCCCAAGTATTATTTTTCTCAATCGATTCCAGCTCCTCTTTCATCGCACACACCCACTTTGGATTGCTTAATGCCTTCTCCGTGCTCACGATCTCAGATTCGACCATAAGCACAAAGTGAATAAGATCACCATCATTGTTGATCTTATTATCATGGAATACTTCACAATCTCGGAGCCTTTGAGGTAGACCTCTGTGCCTTATTGGTCATCTACTGGATTCACCATTTTTGAACTCAATTGGAAGCTACACAGAACCTGCAGAATCCATATTTTTTCTGTATTTTCTTCAGGAAATCGATTTCCAGAATTGGGGAAATAAATTTCCCCATTTGAAAATCTAGTTCAGGAAGCTTCTGTATGCAAAAATCGTGAAGGAAATCGATTTCCCTCATCTAGATAATCGATTTCCTGAACTGATATTGTCTTTTTTCTGCTGTCAAACAGACTTATCTCATCCACTACCACATCTCGACTTATTACAATCTTCTTGATTTTCACATCAAACAACTTGTAACATCCGATAGGATGATAACCAACAAGTAACATCATCTCTCTTTTGTCATCCAACATCTTTTAAAGCTGACTCGAAACATATTGAAATGCTACTGAATCGAAAACTTTCAAATGACACAAATTTGGTTTAAGTCCAGACCATACCTCTTATGGAGTCACCTTGTCCAGCTTCTTTGTAGGGAACCTATTTAAAAAATAGGTAGCTGTAGAAACAACTTATCCTCATAGTTTATTTGACAAGCTTTTTCCTTTCAACATGCTACGAAACATATTAATTATCGAACGATTTTTCCTCTCGGCAACACCATTTTGTTGAGGCGTATAAGGTGGCACAACTTCACGCGCTATGCCCTCATCATCACAATAATTCTCAAGCACATTCGAGGTATACTCACCTCCACCATCCATTTTGAAAATTTTGATTTTGTAACCACTTTGCTGCTCAACCATAGACTTGAATCTTTTAAACACATTAAATACCTCATCCTTCCTCTTGATTAGGTATGTCCATAACTTCCTACTAAAAACATCGATAAATGTGACAAAATACTTATTCCCACCATACGAGTCAATTTGCATTGGACCACACACGTCGGAGTACACCACCTCAAGATGATGTTTGGTTCTATGACCTGCATCCTTGCTGAAACTATTCTTGTGTTGCTTCCCTTGAACACACTCTTCATAAATCTCAGCTGGAATATTGATCTTAGGCAGTCCGGTCACCATACCATTCCTTTGTAACATATTGAGGTCTCAAAAATTGAGATGTCCAAGACGATAATGCCACAATCAAACATCACGACTTGCCATTGTAGCAAGGAACCTATGTTATATCACTTTCAACTCTATCTTGAAAGTTCGAGTGGCAACCATGAGTGCTCTAAGGACTAAAACTCTGTTTCGATCCAAAACGCGTAAAATCTTGTTTTCCATGCGAATTGTGTAACTCTTCTCAAGAAATTGGCCAATACTCAAGAGATTACACTTAATTCCAGGGAATGTATAGCACATCTTTGATCAAATAATTACTCTCATTCTTCTTCATGATCAAAACATCATTGACACTGTCGGCCTCTAAAGTGGTGTGATCCGTGAATTTAACTTTATTCTTTGTGGCTTGATTGATTTTGACAAATCAATCATTTCTACTCGTCATATGCGTTAAAAAACCAGAATCCAAGTACCACTCATCACTTCCTTGGACTCAATCTCAAACAGTTACCATTACGTTTTACTCTGAACGCATTTTTGCAACATTTTTCACGCTGTAGACGCTGCTGCCCAGCCACTAACAACTATTACCGCTGTTGTCCAACAACTTTTCCTTGCCATAATTATCCTCTATGATCATGACCAAAAGTGTGTTATCATCATTCACCTCTTGTTGAGTAACCTTAGCCTCATCACTTTGATTTCTCTCGATTTTGCATTATATTTCTTTGTGAAATGACCAAGCTTATGACAATTGTAAAACTTCACACCACTCTTGTCAAACTTTTCGGTGTAGTTTCCTTGACCCCTACCTTTGGAGCTTCTCTCACCTATTTGCACGATCGAAGCCTTTGAATTTTGTGAATCTTTTCCAGT